CTAATGCATAATAACAAAATTCAAACTCTAGAATGTCGCAGGTAAATTGCAAGACTACAACTTCTTTTCTATCTATCCAGCAAAAAAAGTGTACTTGAGCTATCAAATATTCTTCCTCCGTTATCTTCGCGTCCAACTAGACGATATAATTCATAAAAATTCACTCCTATCTTTGCTCGAACTAACAATTTCAAATACTCTTTCTTTCCTCGCACATTAACAGAATAGAACGAACTACCACATCACATTTTTGAATCTGGAAACGTGTTAAGGTGTATTGAAAATTTTTTTGAAGTAACTTAGATTTTGTACCTTAATGTGTTGTATATTTACCTGTTAGTTTGTACCTCCTATATTGTTCCTTTTTTTGGTCATATCCTCATATATACTGTACCACCCCCACGCCTTCCTGGGCTATTCTTAGCCTGCAGTGTTTTCTAAGAAAACTAAATAAATAAATAAACAAACATTTCTTTCCTTGCGCAGGGTTGAAGACAATCACGCACGAGGCTTTATTACGCTATCACGCTTTACTCCTAAAGGCGATGGTCAAGCTACCTCCAAGTTTATTGTTAGGGGCGAAGCTCCTTAAGGCGTAGATGATCCCGGCATCCTCGTAGTTCTGGGAGCGTTATCTAGATGACGATGGCACTGTGGCACTCGCACTGCTAGTACTCGGTGTAACGAAATGAGATCGACGACATGGCTGTCCCTTCTTCTTCCCTTTAATGAAACACCTTAATCCTCATGATGACCATGATACCACACAGAATAATTCACTCTCTATATGTCGATGATCTCCAAATCGCTTCTCGTGCCTCTAACCTATCAACCTGTGAGAGGCAGCTTGAAATTACCATAAATAAATTGACACATTAGGCTGACAAAAATGGTTTTCGATTTTTCACACAAAGGACTGTTGTTGTTGTGTTTACATTAAAAAGAGGACTATTGCCTGACTCAGTGCTTACATTGAACAATATGACTATGATGATAAAACAAGAACCAAATTTTTAGGTGTCACATTTGACAGAAAACTGAATTTTCTGGCTCACATAGATGCAGTAAAACTGAAATAAGACTTCTTCATCACAAAGCAATCGAGAAACAGCACAATATAGTTTATCAGTGGATACCAGGTCATTGCGGAACATGGCAATGTCCGTGCAGATGAGGCCGCTAGATCTGCACATGACGGTACCCAATACACAGCCATCCCGTTCTCAAGAACCGACGCAGCTACAAGACTTCGTTCGCTTGCACGTGACCTCACACTGGTACAGTGGAACTGGACAGGATTCACAAACGCGCGCTTGCATAAGTTGGATCCCGATCTGCAGCTTCTTTTTCCCTCAGGGATATCTCGAGCTGGGGAGTCTCTTCTATGCTGCCTGTGGCTTGTAGTGGCCTTCATGAACGCATACTCCTATCTCATTGGAATGGCGAGCTCTTCTACATGCACTTACTGCAGCTGCGAAGAAACCACCACGCACCTTCCATGTGAGTGCACCCATTTCAACGCGCCAAGACAAGGACTGACTGCAGCTCTGGATAGACTGGATGATCGGCCTTTGTCGGAACAAAGGATTCTGGGTCATTGGCCGAGCCCATACTTAGCCCACAAGGCTTTGAAAGCTTTGCTGCGCTTTTTGCGGACAACTGGCCTCAGAGACAGACTTTAGTGTCTTATACTCTTTGATGTAAGAAGGTATAACATGGAGAGAATTGAACACGCTGTGAAAAACGGAGGAAACTTGGGATGGGCAAAAATCGGATGTATGCACTAAGGGACAAAGAAGGCAAAATAACTACCAATATGAATAGGATAGTTAAAATAGCGGAGGAGTTTTACAGAGATCTGTTCAGTAGCCGGGACAACCACGACTTCAATATTATAAGAACTAGCAGTAACCCAGATGATACCCCATCAGTAATGATAGAAGAAGTCAGAAAAGCTTTGGAGAGCATGCAAAGAGGCAAAGCTGCCGGTGAGGATCAGGTAACATCAGATCTGCTGAAAGATGGAGGACAGATTGTGTTAGAAAAACTAGCCACCCTGTTTACGAGGTGTCTCCTGACGGGAAGAGTACCAGGGTCTTGGAAGAACGCTAGCATCATCTTAATACATAAAAAAGGAGATGACAAGTAGTTGAAGAATTACGGGCCGATTATCTTGCTCTCTATAGTATACAAGCTATTTACTAAGGTAATTGCTAACAGAGTAAAGAAAACATTAGAATTCAATCAACCAAAGGAACAAGCAGGATTTCAAACAGGCTACTCAACAATGACCACATTCATACTATCAATCAGGTAATGGAGAAATGCTCAGAATATAACCAACCACCATACATAGCCTTCATAGATTACGAGAAGGCGTTTGATTCAGTAGAAATATCAGCCGTCATGCAGACACTGCGGAATCAGGGCGTCGATGAAGTATATATAAACATCCTGGAAGAAATCTACAGGGGATCAACTACTACCATAGTGCTTCATAAAGAAAACAACAGAATACCAATAAAAAAGGGTGTAAGGCAGGGGGCGCAATCTCCCCAATGCTATTTACCGCGTGCTTACAGGAGGTTTTCAGAAGCCTAGAATAGGAACAGTTAGGGATAAGAGTTAATGGCGAGTACCTTATAGTAACCTGTGCTTCGCCGATGACATTGCATTGCTGAGTAACTCAGGGGACGAATTGCAACTCATGATTACGGAGTTAGACAAGGAGAGCAGAAAGGTAGGTCTTAAAATGAATCTGCAGAAAACGAAAGTAATGTACAACAACATCGGAAGAGAGCAGCGCTTCGAGATAGGTAATAGTGCACTTCAAGTTGTAAAAGGCTATGTCTACTTAGGGCACGTAATAACCGCGGAGCCGAACCACGAGATTGAAGTAACTAGAAGAATAAGAATGGGGTGGAGCACATTTGGCAAGCACTCTCAAATTATGACAGGTAGATTGCCACTATCCCTCAAGAGGAAGGTATATAACAGCTGTATCTTGCCGGTACTTAGCTACGGAGCAGAAACCTGGAGACTTACAAAGAGGGTTCAGCTTAAATTGAGGACGACGCAGCGAGCAATGGAAAGAAAAATGGTAGGTGTAGGCTTAAGAGACTAGAAGGCAACAGAGTGGATTAGGGAAGAAACGGGGGTTAAGGATATTCATAGTTAAAGTTGCATTAAAAATTATTTCAAAATTGTTTTAGAGCTTTCTAAATATTAGTCATAAATCCAGTATGTATGATCCGCTTGACTCATGGCCGATCCCCCAGAGTGGGTTGGGGCCAATGATCCAAGGATCATCATCATCATCGTCGTCGTCGTCGTTGTCGTCGTCGTCGTCTTCATCATCATCATCATCATTTTCCCCGCTTGGATCATGCTGTGGCGATCGCTCTACTCCGATGCGTGCTCTCGTGTCATAGGAGACCGCGTTCGCTCTTGGCGCGATTTCTCTTTCGCCGGCAGTCTGAGTGCTTCGAGTGTGAGCGACGAAGACAAGGCGGCGGATAGGAGGGCTCAGAAAACGGCTCTGCGCCCCGCCGCGGTGGTCTAGTGGCTAAGGTACTCGGCTGCTGACCCGCAGGGCGCGGGTTCGAATCCTGGCTGCGGCGGCTGCATTTCCGATGGAGGCGGAAATGTTGTAGGCCCGTGTGCTCAGATTTGGGTGCACGTTAAAGAACCCCAGGTGGTCTAAATTTCCGGAGCCCTCCACTACGGCGTCTCTTATAATCATATAGTGGTTTTGGGACGTTAAACCCCACATATCAATCAGAAAACGGCTCTATCAAAAACAAGAGATGGTTTGACCGCTTGCTCAGCAAAAATTTTTGTTTATTGGTAGTATTATCTCTAAGCTAATTTTTCAGATTGGCTTTAATTTCATTTTAGTTTCATTTAAGTATCCTCCCGCCCGGTTCTTGGCCAATCCCTCTCTGTGGGTGAGCGCCATCCATCTGAGGTCATCAGCATCAGCATGAAACGGCTGCAGCGCGTGCTCGCCCTCTTTACATGATAATCAGCAGGGCAAGATTTAGGGAGGATTCGTGAGTCACCGATGTACCTCCGGAGCTTCGCGCTCTCATCATAATTCACTACGTGGATATGCTGTGTTTTTTTTTTACTTTCTGAAGGCTGGACAACAGATAACACAGTCTGACTGGTGTAAAAAAATGAAACTTTCTTTTATGCAACAAGTCTACTGTACAAAGGGAATCTGAGGTGCTTTGTAAGAGCGCGATATTTCGCATGTTCCTGCTCACGAACGAAAAATGTTTTATATAAGATAAGTCTCGGAACTCGGTTTTCAAGAGACGCCTTTCGCTCACTTAGAACTGCTGGAACAGCAGCCTAACTTACGATTGAGAACCAGAGCGCATTAAATAATTTTTAGTTCTGACAAGTCAGCTATTAGCGGACATCACTTGTCGTTGAGACATAATTAATTATTATTCTGCTAACAGGCGTTCTCCAAGACTATGAAATGACACATCAAAACCACTCACACTACCTTCTTTAATATATGCTACCTTCTCGGGCTTCCTTGGGTTTCTTCTTTTACTGTGGCGTCGTCGAAGAGGAAAGAAGCGGCATCATGGGCATCCCCATCGCGTCCGCCATCCACTCGAACTGATGAACCCACGATTGCGAATTGTGCAATTTCGTCTTCGTCGTCGCGATGAGCGCCTGTGTGGCACCATTAGTACGTCGGGTCAAGTTGAAAGCCGTCGTTAATCGCAACTATAGAGATTTCGGCGACGGTGGGGACTGAGGAAAAGAAGGCTACTGCTTCTAGCATTGGACGAAGATCAGCGCGGACTCCATCATCCGATACCTGGGAAAGACACCTCTTCCATAGCATCGTCACTGCAAGTCCATTGAACGAAACAGGTGTGTCAGCAGTCTGTAGTGACGCGTCGCTTCTGACTGCTCCGCGGAACACACTGTGCATTCGAGTTCCTCCCTGTCTAAAAGAGGCTGTGGCGGAGTATAAAATGGCGACCATCTCACAAACGAAAGCGCATGCCACCGAAGTTTCAGAGACCGAGGCTCCCAGCGGCGCCCGAGTCGTGCTCAGGCTCAGGAAGCCGTCGCCCAGAAGCAGGCGCCACGTCACCTGGAGGGAGGACACCGTCGACAACGAACACTTGAACCGGCTCAGGTCGAACTGCTGCTGCGTGTACGTCAAGCCGCGCAAGTTCGGCGAGAGTTCGAGTGATAGCGAGGAAGAAGACTTGGAGCACTGCCGATGCCATGTCGAGCGCAGGCAGAAGAACAAGAGGCCTGCTGTCAGCGCGGTCATGACGGCGACCACAGAGACAACGCCCGAAGGTGGCATCGAAGACGCTCCGCCTGCCTCGAGCCATCACCACATGAATCCTGCTGCTGGTAGCGCGATCTTGACGGCGACCACTGAGACGACGCCCGAAGGCACCGTCTCAGGCGACTGACACCCCGCCTGCCTCGAGACGCCACGTCACTTGGGACGCCGACACGGTCGACAACGAGAACACGAACAAACGCAAGTTCAAGTGCTGCTGCATCTTCGAGAAGCAGCGCGAATTCGGAGAGAGCTCGTCGGACAGCGAGGCAGACGACTGCACCCACTGCCGCGGACACAAGGAGGCCAGGGCCAAGAAGAGCGCGAACGACGCTGATGAGCCTCTGCTGCTGAGCCAGTTCATGGCACACGGAGGCGCCTCCTAAGAAGCGCTAGTCGTGTTGACAAGAAAGCACGCACTAGAGCCCGTTTCTGCCAAATTGCTTTCTGAGACTGCACATTTCCATTAGCGAAATTCAATCCTGCTTTTCGAATAATTATCATTCTGCAATTCATGTCAAATCACGTAGTCTTGGCGAACATTTTCACAATTACCTGATGTTACTGTCTTACATCCTCCAATCTTGTTCAATAATATGTGTTTCTGAAACATGGCTGAGTCACAAAGATGAAAAAAAAACTTCAGTTTCTGAATCGCACTTCATCGCAACATGGTGGCTAAGCCATGCTCATTCGTTTTGACAATCGGTATTAGCGTAAGCTTGATTTGTGCTTGAAAGGGGATACGGACACACAAAAGCTTTAGCCTCGCATTTTTATTGCGATAGTAATTATATGGACACTCTCGGCAGGATTTCGCCGCTGGCGTCAGCGTCGATGTCATGCGCCGCATATGTATACGTATCTATATATATCAAAATGCAAGAAAGGAAAAAAAAATAAAAAAAAGAGATTCCGGCGCGCGGAAGCGAACGTGGGACCTCCACGTCGTGAATCTGAGGCATTAACCACGGAGCCACCGAGGAATATCTCATTGTATCTTATAGAGCTACTTATATCTACCCCTTACCGCTGCTGGCGGGCATCTCAGGGGGGAACTATCGTGTTTTCAGCATTATCAGCAAGATGGCGCAATGAGCGCGCGGCGGCTCTCATCTCTCACGCGTACTTTGGCCCGCGTAGAGGAGGAGAATGGATGATCTCTCGCGCGCCCTTATCTGGTGGTGGCGAGGATCATAGGTCTTGGCTGGGGTTGGGCTTGCACTGGAACGATTCTGTTCTTGTTACGGGGGGCACAATGGTCACTGCAATCGTTGCACAGCCTCCGTTTGCGGAAAGGGCGCGCTCTGCAGACACAGCGAAGTAACAACTGAGGTGCTTATTCACTTTCATCTATACCTTTGAGTACATTTCCTTCATTTGTGCGTGAGAAACATGGGGCACGTTTCTATCTGCTTGCCATTCTGCGCGTGACCTTCCAATTTGTTGCTATCGCGTTCATTGCTTCGCCTTTGCGGCAAATCTGTGACATTTTTTTTTGTTTTTTTCCTACTGCAATGGGTTGCAGGACGCCTGTTAGTCATGACCATAGGTCGGTTGACTCATGAGCTGACTTGCTCGGACTCGCACAGACTCAAATTGAGCCTCGAGTTCGAGTCTGAGTGCGTGCGGTTGAGTAATATTTTCGTGAGTTTCAATCTGAGTGAGTCCAGTCGAAGAAATTTTTTGTGAGTGTGAGTTCGAGTGAGTTTGGCTCAGGAAAGCTTTGGGAGTCTGAATGAGTCCAACGCACAAAATATATTTCTTCAGTAAGTCAGAATTCCATTTTAATCTGACAACGTAAGGTCCTGTCTAGTCATCTTCAGCATTACTATCAGCCTTGCCTGGATTCACGTTTATACTCACACGTACGACAAAGAATTGTCGTTCATGTACAAGTTTAATATTTATCCATCAGAGGCGCGATTTACGTAGGGTGTTGCCTTGAATTCCACCCCCACCAAGTCTTTGATGAAAGTTCTTGATAAATATACCTTATGATATAACTTCTTTCAAGAAAAATGACCTTACTGATTTGCAAGCACTCGGTAATCATTGTAGAAGATAATATATGTGAAACAGCGCCAAGAAGAGCACCGATTAAGTAAGATATTGGTGTTAAAGAGCATTGACAACGTTGTCAAAGAAGTCAATTCTAGACTAACGGACTCATGAGTTTACTCACTCGTACTCACTCAGACCAATATATATATATATATATATATATATATATATATATATATATATATATATATATATATATATATATGAGATATAACAGACAGTAATGCCAAGGAATGTACAGGGGAAGTTATTAACATTAATGGAATATAAATAAGAAGAAAGAAAAGTGGATGAAAAAATTACCAACTGTAAGCAGGAATCGAACCTACGACCTTCGAATTACGCGTTCGATGCTCTAACCACTGAGCTATTACAGCGGCACTCCCTCCATCCACTTTTTTGGGTTTATCTGTGAATTTAGAAGTAGGAGCGACAGTCAGCGCCATCTATAAGCCAAACAACGAGTGTGAAAACACTCTTATGCGCATGTTTGGCGTCACGTAGCACGTGAACTTATTATGAGCGGGCAGCTGATTAATTGTCCCTCTTATACAACCTAAACACACCAAGTCTGCCAGTACGAGACCCTCGTTCAATGAAATAAGGAAAAGAAGTGTATACCTAAGGGCTCGTTTTTCCGTGTTTTTAACACAATAATAATGAGATATAACAGACAGTAATGCCAAGGAATGTACAGGGGAAGTTATTAACATTAATGGAATGTAAATAAGAAGAAAGAAAAGTGGATGAAAAAATTACCAACTGTAAGCAGGAATCGAACCAACGACCTTCGAATTACGCGTTCGATGCTCTAACCACTGAGCTATTACAGCGGCACTCCCTCCATCCACTTTTTTGGGTTTATCTGTGAATTTAGAAGTAGGAGCGACAGTCAGCGCCATCTATAAGCCAAACAACGAGTGTGAAAACACTCTTATGCGCATGTTTGGCGTCACGTAGCACGTGAACTTATTATGAGCGGGCAGCTGATTAATTGTCCCTCTTATACAACCTAAACACACCAAGTCTGCCAGTACGAGACCCTCGTTCAATGAAATAAGGAAAAGAAGTGTATACCTAAGGGCTCGTTTTTCCGTGTTTTTAACACAATAATAATGAGATATAACAGACAGTAATGCCAAGGAATGTACAGGGGAAGTTATTAACATTAATGGAATGTAAATAAGAAGAAAGAAAAGTGGATGAAAAAATTACCAACTGTAAGCAGGAATCGAACCTACGACCTTCGAATTACGCGTTCGATGCTCTAACCACTGAGCTATTACAGCGGCACTCCCTCCATCCACTTTTTTGGGTTTATCTGTGAATTTAGAAGTAGGAGCGACAGTCAGCGCCATCTATAAGCCAAACAACGAGTGTGAAAACACTCTTATGCGCATGTTTGGCGTCACGTAGCACGTGAACTTATTATGAGCGGGCAGCTGATTAATTGTCCCTCTTATACAACCTAAACACACCAAGTCTGCCAGTACGAGACCCTCGTTCAATGAAATAAGGAAAAGAAGTGTATACCTAAGGGCTCGTTTTTCCGTGTTTTTAACACAATAATAATGAGATATAACAGACAGTAATGCCAAGGAATGTACAGGGGAAGTTATTAACATTAATGGAATGTAAATAAGAAGAAAGAAAAGTGGATGAAAAAATTACCAACTGTAAGCAGGAATCGAACCTACGACCTTCGAATTACGCGTTCGATGCTCTAACCACTGAGCTATTACAGCGGCACTCCCTCCATCCACTTTTTTGGGTTTATCTGTGAATTTAGAAGTAGGAGCGACAGTCAGCGCCATCTATAAGCCAAACAACGAGTGTGAAAACACTCTTATGCGCATGTTTGGCGTCACGTAGCACGTGAACTTATTATGAGCGGGCAGCTGATTAATTGTCCCTCTTATACAACCTAAACACACCAAGTCTGCCAGTACGAGACCCTCGTTCAATGAAATAAGGAAAAGAAGTGTATACCTAAGGGCTCGTTTTTCCGTGTTTTTAACACAATAATAATGAGATATAACAGACAGTAATGCCAAGGAATGTACAGGGGAAGTTATTAACATTAATGGAATGTAAATAAGAAGAAAGAAAAGTGGATGAAAAAATTACCAACTGTAAGCAGGAATCGAACCTACGACCTTCGAATTACGCGTTCGATGCTCTAACCACTGAGCTATTACAGCGGCACTCCCTCCATCCACTTTTTTGGGTTTATCTGTGAATTTAGAAGTAGGAGCGACAGTCAGCGCCATCTATAAGCCAAACAACGAGTGTGAAAACACTCTTATGCGCATGTTTGGCGTCACGTAGCACGTGAACTTATTATGAGCGGGCAGCTGATTAATTGTCCCTCTTATACAACCTAAACACACCAAGTCTGCCAGTACGAGACCCTCGTTCAATGAAATAAGGAAAAGAAGTGTATACCTAAGGGCTCGTTTTTCCGTGTTTTTAACACAATAATAATGAGATATAACAGACAGTAATGCCAAGGAATGTACAGGGGAAGTTATTAACATTAATGGAATGTAAATAAGGAAGAAAGAAAAGTGGATGAAAAAATTACCAACTGTAAGCAGGAATCGAACCTACGACCTTCGAATTACGCGTTCGATGCTCTAACCACTGAGCTATTACAGCGGCACTCCCTCCATCCACTTTTTTGGGTTTATCTGTGAATTTAGAAGTAGGAGCGACAGTCAGCGCCATCTATAAGCCAAACAACGAGTGTGAAAACACTCTTATGCGCATGTTTGGCGTCACGTAGCACGTGAACTTATTATGAGCGGGCAGCTGATTAATTGTCCCTCTTATACAACCTAAACACACCAAGTCTGCCAGTACGAGACCCTCGTTCAATGAAATAAGGAAAAGAAGTGTATACCTAAGGGCTCGTTTTTCCGTGTTTTTAACACAATAATAATGAGATATAACAGACAGTAATGCCAAGGAATGTACAGGGGAAGTTATTAACATTAATGGAATGTAAATAAGAAGAAAGAAAAGTGGATGAAAAAATTACCAACTGTAAGCAGGAATCGAACCTACGACCTTCGAATTACGCGTTCGATGCTCTAACCACTGAGCTATTACAGCGGCACTCCCTCCATCCACTTTTTTGGGTTTATCTGTGAATTTAGAAGTAGGAGCGACAGTCAGCGCCATCTATAAGCCAAACAACGAGTGTGAAAACACTCTTATGCGCATGTTTGGCGTCACGTAGCACGTGAACTTATTATGAGCGGGCAGCTGATTAATTGTCCCTCTTATACAACCTAAACACACCAAGTCTGCCAGTACGAGA